AAACTTCCTGCTGAACTCTGTGGGCGTGTTTCAGGTTTCCCCACCTCATTAGCTTCACTTAAATGTCCATTAGTGGGTGGTTAGAGATGGCAGTTTGAATTCAAACCACCTCCAGAGATCATGTGACACCACCAGGATTAACACAGAGCTGAGCATTATAGAATTATGTCTTTTACAGGGACTTAATACTAAAATGACATGCTTTCCTATAAGTATGAGGTTTCCTTGGATAAACCTGCAGTAACTGATTTTTTGGCCACTTGGCGGCAGTAGCGGAAACAAACTGTAAATGTAACAACAACAATGTAAAAAACAACAATGATACGAATCCTTGATAATATTTTTTTTTAAAAATAAGTCGCATAATGAGTTGGACATGTTGTTGGACATGTTGTTGGACATGTTAGAGTTGAGAAAATGAACTTGTCGGGGCTCTCTGGTGGACAAACTATGTGATGTAGTCACTGTTTTTAAATGACAGCAAACCTAGTTTGACATTTCTGTTCTACGATCTTTTGTTAATGATTGCCTGACACACACACCAATACCAAATTATCAGCAATAAGCCGCTATCAGCCAATTTATTGGTCTAGCTCTTGTTGCTATCATGGAGCATTAGTTGATATGGCAAACACATTAGCAAGCAACTTATTTAAACATCCAGCAGATATGGAGCAACACTGGCATTCATTTGGAGCCACTGTTTGTGTCCATCTCATGAGTGTAAGTCCAGTATTGACTCTCTTCCAGCTGTTTTTGGTCTCCACAAACTCCTGAGGGAAACATCTGGCTCTTTTTTTATCTGCACTCACTGTGTCTGTTTTTAGAGCTTTACAACAGAAAACAAGTTTCCTGCCTCTGGGAACGATGCAATGAGAGCGGTGAGAGTGAACCAAAACATTAAAGTTGCAAGTCTGAAAACCAAAACAACCTCCTGAAAGACGCTAAAACGCTCAGTATGGGCTGAGGGGAACTGCAGAATGTTTCATTATTGTGAGCGATCCCTTTCGCATAATCAAACATGAGCCATTAATATAAAGATATTGATTATAGCAGCTTTAAATTTCAAACGTGAATCAGTTTTGTGGATTTCTGTTGTGAAACTTCCATTTTAAAGCAGTTATTTATCCATAAATCCTCAGGGAACTTGTCTTTTCTTGTTTAGTAAGATCATGTCTGTTCAGATTTATTCACAAAGGACCCCTAACTATCGCCAAATGTTTCTAAGGAGGTTAATATAGTTGAATATGTGATCAAAATCTAAAAAGAAAACGTTCATTGTCGAATAGTTTGTGTGTGTATTTCTTCTTTATTAACTTAACTTCAAACTGAGAATTTACCACATGGCCTGACCCTTTTACTGCTCTGTGTTTATTTATAGTACACAGCTTTTCATATCCTTTAACTCAGAAATGATTTGCATGCTACACTGTGCTGTTGTTCTAACTGATAGCTATCAGCAGACGGTGTATTCAAAGCTCCTCCACCCTGAAGAAGAATAGGAAAAGTGATGAGAGTTTGCGTGGCTGCATGTACGTAATTATTTGCTTAGATTTGGATTTCTTCGATCCAAAAGTTCACGCCTTTGTATGAGCTAAGTTTGGATGAAGTAACACGTTTGTACGAGTTGCTAATTCCCTTCATTCACCAGTTCAGATAAACTCCCATCTCGGTCTGATAACAGAGACGGTCTAAAGGTTAGAGCTGACTCTCAACCAAACACGTTTCAGTATCTGACAGATGAGGAGATCTGCCTTGTTTGAGGCTTTTTCTAGATTCGTATCAAGCAAGCGTTCGCTCCAAATATTGACAGATGAGTTGCTCTTTGGATTTTGAAGTTACACACAAACAAGAGACACTGGTTGACCTTCACAGAGCCTGAGAGTTAAGCCTAAAGAGCGTGAAGGCCTTACATCCAAACAGGGGATTTTCTTGGATCGTGTCCTCTCAGGGTGTGTGTGCCCAGCGAGAGGAGCGAGGTTTAAATCTGGAGAACGTGGATGATCTCACTCGCTAGCAATGTGAGTTGCTACATCCTCTCTGGCTGCAGAGCTTCCTCTGAAATAACGGCCTCCATTCTCCTTTCAAACAACTTTCCATCAGAAAATATCTGAGTGTTAAACCAGGGCTGCAGCTACAGCACCACTGAGGACACACAGGGCCTGTCCTTGGTGTATTTTCTGGGAATTTGGGAATTTTAGTGTCCAACTCTTTCTGATTCTCTTTTTTTTTGTACTTAATATAAATAAAATTACTAATTTAAGGTAAAGAAAATCTAAATAATTCAGGAGTCAGTATTTTGCCAGTGTGGAGAGGTTGTTTAAACAGCATGTAGGGAAATAAACTTTATACAACATAATCAGACAGTTGACTGAATCAATAAAATGCAGAAAAACCCAAATAATGAGACAATCTTATGTACATTTTGGTGTCTGCTCAACATCTTCTGACAGAGGTGGGGTTGCACTACGGGGGGGGGGTCTTGAACCCATGACCTTAGTGTTGATAAAAATCTGGCCACAGCCCTGCACAAACAAGTTACAAGCCCACCATAACTGAAGTTCTTACTGTAAACATACCAAACATCCTTGCAGTGTATAACAAAAACATAAAGCTCTATGAGTAAAAAAAAAAAACACAGATCAACGTCAATCCAGATGCCAACACTTAAAATAAAATGTAAAAATGTGTTTTCTTACCCATGACTGCCAGTTCTGCTGCAGCCCTGAGACTCTGATTCAGGATCCAAACATCACCCACAGCGTCTCTCTCCTCTCTGCATCCCATCAGCTGGCCCGGTGGAACCTCTCGTCCTGCGGATCTGAGGGTGTGTCTCCCGCCGAGCGGAATGTGGAAATACAGCCTCCAGATAGTGTGTGTGTGTGTGTGTGTGTGTGTGTGTGTGTGTGTGTGTGTGTGTCTGTCTCCGGGAGGGTGTAAACAGTGTTCGTTCATTCAGAGTGTTCAGTTAAAGTGCGTTTACCTGCCACAGTGGCGGTCAGGTTTGATCGACTCTGAGCTCAACACAAAGTTGAGTTGAGCTGCTGCAGCGCTGTGATGACAGAGCGCCCTCTGGTGGCTCAAATAACTTCGTCACCGAGGTCACAAAGGTGTTGGATCACTGACATATCACCTGGGTTTAGTCTCGGTTCAGTGAGGAGGGGCGAAAAAAGTTAGTCTTCACCACTGAAGTCTCTTTTCTCCTACAACCAAAAGAAATACTCAGGATAAATCATAAGTATCACATTTCTTAATTATCAGTCAGTGTGCAGCCCCCACTACAGGCAGAAACCTAAATCCCAAATGATCATGTTTCCAGGTTTTTTCATGACTATGTGATCAGGACCTTGTGTGCAAACACAAATAAAGAACATTTTAAAAAGCATTTTGAAGCTTTCAATATATTACTTCAGTTACTTTTGCAATAGGTAGGAGATAGTAATGCAGAAAATTTATAAATGATAAGGCTCAACCATAACCCAAAACTGCCTATTCCAGGGGTCAGCAATTAGATTAAAGGATACACATGAAATAAATACAAAACTTGATAGGGCCACTGGCCCTGGGCCAGTGTACAGTATATAGGCTGCAGTACTGGGATATGTACGTTACAACCATTAACTCATCACTGAGCGTAACCTACAACTAGGTAACATTGATATTGGAAAAACATTATATTTATATGTATAATATACATTTTCCACCATGCAATGTAACTGTTGCCTAATAACTTGCTTAAATATGTAAAAGCTCAGAAGGGGCAGGGACCTTCAGTTTAGGGTAATGTTAACCTATTTTACACTATAGTGACTTGTGCAGCACCTGTATGTATATTAAACGATTAAATGACAAGCAGGTGGCAGAATTAACCAGCTCTGAACTTACTGTCATTCATTGGCAGAGAATTATTTTGAAAAAATATTTCTTTCACTCACATTTTATGCAAAAATGCCAAATATTCTCTAACTCCAGTCCCTCAAATGTGAGGATTTGCTTCTTGTCTTCGACACAGTGAACTGAGTATCTTTGGGTTTGAGACTGATATTCTGTTAAAATCTGAAATTTGAAGATGTGACGTCTTGGGCTCTGGGATCCTCCAGTTTTCTACCATTTTATAACAATTGACTGATTAATCAAGAAAATAAATGGGACATTAATCAATTATGAAAATAAGAGTTAATGTAAAATAAGCTGACTCCCTACAACTAACAAACGAAAACATATACAAACAAAGTTTTTATTTAGATAAAAAAAGACAGGTGCATTTTTATACAGTCTATACACTGTTCAATGACAATAATAAGAAATCTCTGATTTGCTACAAAATCAGTGTAAACACTTTCTGGTTGGTCATTTTCTTAAAGTCTCTGTGATGAGACAGACACAAAGAGTGCAGAGAACTTACTGTAAACAATGCACACCTCGCTCAATGGATATAACACTGATAGAAATTGTACAACAAACACATAAAGGCACTGTGCTGAAGCAACAAAGAGATGATATAAAAAAAGGAGATTGATTATGCATCTGTTTTTGATTGTTGGAAGATTACACATATTAAGATGTATTTGTTGGCCCCTCTCAGCCCATGACAGAGGAACTGTTGAGACACTTTAGTGCCGATTTTTGTTTTGTTGGTCAGTTTTCCAGGAGTCATCCACACTGACCTGACCTCTGTTCCACAGGCTGTATATATTATAAATGCAGTATACACTTCAGACACTTGGGGGCAGCACTGCTACAGTTTACTGCACGCTCCACTGTGTGCACACTCCTGCCGTCAACAGGTCAACATCTTTGGAAATATGGCAATTAAGACAGTAACATCTCCCTATACCTGACAAATCCATCACATAATCCCCCTGTTAAATATCAAACGTTTCCATCTTGTTACCTCTGGACAGGGCCAGGCTAGCTGTTTCCCCTGTTTTCCAGTCTTTTTGCTAAGCTAACCTGTTGCTGGCTGTAGCTTCATATTTACCATATAGTCTTGAGAGTGGGATCAATCTTCTCATTTAACTCTCAATAAAGCGATTAAGCATATTTCCCAAAATGTTGAACTACTACATTAAGGGCTTTAACTGCTTAATGCAACTTGTCTTCCATTACAATATAATGGCTCTCAACCTTTTTGGCTTGTGACATTCAAAATAAAGCTTCTTGTGACCTTGCACACAGTGCAGAGTTGTGAGCAGTTGAACTGAAAGTGTTACTCTTTTCATCTGAATTGTGTTATGACCCAAAAAAGGAAAATAAAACTTAAAATTTTCTTCAATATATTAAAAAAATAAAGCAAAAAGCACAGAAAAGACAGAAAAATGAGCAAGATTTGTGAAGCAGAACTATGTCGAACTATGTCTTTTTATCTTTTGGCCTTTTATTTATTGACCCCCAGCTGGGAACCACGGCATTATAAGATCCCATTCTGATCGCTCAGAGATTGTTGTTTTAACATTTCCAGGTGGCAAAGCTGCTGAGGAGGCCGAGGTCTAACATCAGTGGCGGAGCCAGAGAGCCAGCTACCTGACTTTCCAAAAGATCAAACTAACAAATGAAGCGTATAGCTCATTCTATCCAGATCACAAATGCTGTGGTCATCTCTGAATAAAAAAGTCACTGCTATTTACATCTATAATTTGACCAGATTTCCTCTTTGGCCATTTGCCATATTTTTGCCACTTTGCCCCCAGCTCTGTCTCTGGATAATTTTGCACTTCTGTTTGTACCGTTAAAACTCACATCTGTCCAGAACAAGAACAACTTCAGATTTGAAAATACAGCATAATGTGGATGTGATTGTCCGCCACGCATCGTTCACGCTGCAGGTTGTCCTTGGGAAAACAAAGTGATTGTGATTTTGTGTCTGGTTCAGGGCCGTCATCATGAGTCCAGGTAGATGGAGTAGATCTGATTGAGGCAGCGGTCGACGCCTCCTGCCTGGAAGAGGAAGCTGTCGTCTGGGCAGGGAGACATGGAGTAACCGCCCCCTGCCTGGCCCTGCAGGTCCTGCAACAAGTCAAACCCTGAGAAGAGCAAAACAGAAGATGGATTAATCAATCAATCGGTCTTTCTTTTCTTGATTTGCAACCAGGTGACACTGGTTTGTCACATATTGATTAAAAACAACAGGGAACTTCAGAGACAGTACAACTCGGAGGAAATGACAACCAAACCCTCCTAGAGCAAAATGAGCAGAGAAAGGAGAAACCCTGCAGCAAACCAGACCTACGCAGATTCTATAAAGTCCGAAGTATGTTTAATAGAATCTGCATATACATTTAAGAAAATGTCCGATGTGAGTTTAACAGGCCTACGGCAACAGAAAAACACATAAAGCTCATGTAGTTCTGAGGGGCTGGGTTACTATGTATGCCCTTAGAAATGACTCGATCTGATAACAATGGCAATCACAAGTGTTTATGGTTGCTCCGAACAGCTACACTTGAGGGCGGTGTAAAAAAGATTGTAAATATATATAAAATGTCTTTTAAATATGAGAATAACTGAGCATATTTTCTGGAAGACATTATAGTGTTGCACTTGGTTGTAAACAGGAAAAGTGACATAATGGTGTAATGAATAAAAAAAAAGAGGGCTAAAGGTTAAATCCTGCCTACTTTCTCACCTCTGTACCTGGCTGATCATCTTTGGAAAAATTGCACGACACAGCGCCCTCAGTGATGACATGTGAAAAACGTGGTGGGTGCCAACAAGCACTTTTTACCTGCGGAGTGAGAGGTGGAGGGGTTTGAGAAGTAACTGGCGGGTTCAAAGCCTCCATCGTTGACTGGTTGAACCACCTTTCCTTCTCCGTACAGACAGCCTTGGGGAACCACAGAGGAAATGATGGTGGATGCCAAGAACAACACCAAGACCAGGCTGTATATGTCAGATTGACATGATAAGGCTGCTGATGCTGACAGTACCTTGCTGCTGTGGGAAAACTTGCTGTTGGTGGCTGTAGGTTTTCTGGTAGCCCTGCAGCCGGACGTCAGCTCTGTCTGATGAAGAGCTCACTGGGCTGACGTCAGCGGCCATGAACAACGATGTCGGTCTGTTCCTGTTGATAATACAACACCGGGCAGCTGAATTACTCAGAACACCAACATTAACATTTATGTGAGTACTCAGTTGGGAACAAGTATAGAACCATGATGAACATTTAAATGTATTAATTTATGTTTTCTTCATAATTTCTGTTGCTTCAAACATTAAAGGAAGAGATTGGGTTAGATGAGAAGGAATGCTACATTAGCATGTTTGGCTAACTAGCATGCCTACGTTCAGGAGTTGTAGCCTAGCCCAGCATTACTTCCAAGGCCAGTGGTATTTCATACTACTAATATTTTGTGTCTTTACAGGTTACTACATTAGTTTCATATTTAATGCACAGACATTTTGACATGTTTGCCAGTTTCTCAGGCAAAAATGTCAGGACTTTGATGTAAATAGATCCATCTTTTTACATCTTTATTTTCCATGAATCTTTGATTTAACGTCATTCATTTATTAATCTAAATTTAGATAATTAAATTAATTTACAGGATTTTCAACAGGAATATTAAGAACAACAATAATAAAAAATAAAACAAACAGAGGACTCGCAACTGAAGAAAGGCATTTAAAAACTTTTTTAAATCTACTGTAGGTATACTTATTTAAAACTTGTTTTCATTAAACTTTAACACAAATTTCTGATCAAATCAAACAAAGATCAAATCCTTTCCAGTAAGTCCAGGCAGATAACCATTAGCTGACAGTATGGCAGCAGCTTTTATCACACAGTCATGTAAATACTTCAAACCATGCACAAACAGTACAGTTTATATAAGCATTTCCACCTCAGGGGGGGGGGGGAATGTAGGCGTGCTTTGTGCGGAGCTGTATCCATTGCTATGCTGCAAGAATGTGCTGACTGTGCACAAACACTCTGACTCAACATGGAAACGAATGAGTCAGTTGAGCCAAGTCGACAAGAAGAAAGAAAGGCGGTCAAATCTCTCTCCAAGGAGATATGCAGCTGAAAACCCCCAGTATGGTATTTGAGTCCCCCCCCCCCTTCCTCCTTCAAAGAGCTCGCTCTCAGAATTTCATGTGGCCTGAGAACTCTCCTCGATGATGTACTGTAGCATATTGGTCCCCAGAGAGCCAAATGGCCTTGGTTTCTGCTGGAAGGATTTTAGAGGACTTCATAAACAAGCCAAGCCCTGTCAGAGATACTGATGGCTGCTGGCCCAAGCGCCTTCTATATACGCATCTGACCAGCTATAAAAAAAGAAAATGATTGGAGATTTCTTTACATATCTATCATTTGTCATCCCCAGGTCTCTTTATTACCCATTTCCCATGTCAAATGCTATTACATTTAATTTAACAGTCTGTGCTTTCAGTGGAGAAACACAATAAAAGCCAAAATTAATCAGAAGGACTTTTTGAAACCCAAACTGATATAAGTTACAGATGGCTGTGGCTTCCCAAGGTAATAAAATCCAGGCTTTGTATAGGATTATGTAAACAAAGTGGGCTTTGATATACTACGACTGTTGAAATGAATGTGCTGCGATGACTACGAGCCCCAAGAATTCAACACTTCTCTGGATTCCCCTCAGTGGCCCCTGAACCAGCAGCGCTGACCTTAACTATAAACAACCGTCTGTTCCACGGCTTACATTCTTGCGACGCTGCAACAACATAGCTGGGATGTCTGAGTCGTGCCGTGCGTGGCCCTGCTGGGTCGATCCGCTGTTTTGTGGCCGGTGTGCCCAAAACTTCTCAGATGCATGAGCTTAACAGAGAGCCCACGCCTGAGGGAGCGGCTGTCAGCACAACCTCAGGAAACTGTTTCTCTGATCATATTTTACCAGCTAAACCCCTTCATCACTCAGTTTTTTTTTTCTGTGCAACTAACTACAGCCAGCTGCCCTCCTTATATCTGGAATGAGAGGAATCCTGCTTGCAGAATTTAAGATCTAATGTTTATATGCACTTTATACTGTATGCAACCCTGCCTTAATCCATGGCTGCTTTTTAATAGCAGCATACTTGGGCTGGATCAGAAGAGGGGATGAGTAGGTTTTACCAAAGGTGCCAGCTCGTGCACGCAAAACTTATCTGTTTTCAGTTTTGGCAGAGGAAAACCTGCTGAGTATTTCTGTAATATAGATTTACTGGATCACAGAGGATCATGTTGAATGTATGTAATGCAGATGGAGATTTAATGTGAACTAAGGCACCATCAATTAGGCACTTAGAGAAACTTATTGCATGTTAGTGCTGCAAGGAATACAAAAATGTGTGGACATGTCAAACATTTCAGTTAACCCAGCTATTTGGATCCAATGTCACTCGGAGCTTCTGCAAAGTAAACTTTGTTGCTTCTCTTTCCTTCAAATTGTATAATAGCGTTTCTGTGAGAGCCATCCCCAGTTAGTGCGCCTGTATCTGATGGACTCCAAAAAGCCCATCCAAGCTCTTCACCTCCCCTCCCCCTTGACCACAAAACACACAAACACTGCACATCACAAATACTCGCTGATGGACAAGCCTCAGCGCGGGCCTCTGAATCCCTCAAGTATTAAATAATTAAAAGACGTCAAAAAGGCTCGTCTCCGCCAGAGTAAACACGCGCCTGGCTATGAGGTCAGAGCTTGATGCCGGCTGTGCTGCGAAGCAAAGATAATTTACTTTCACGTGTTTAACGTCTCGCTAAGTCATTTGGGGGAAAAACAAGTGCTTGTCTGGTATTGGCTTTGGCAGGCTGTCGCGTACTGCGGGCACCAGTGGGATTCTATGACATCCTCAGTCTCTATAAAGAGACGTCAATGGACAGATTGTGCATAGCTTCATGGAAGCTGTGGCTGCAAGCTTTGAGGCAATGGAGGCAGAGAGATGCTGCCTTAAAGAAAGCAGTTATATGTCCTGAACACACACACACACACACACACACACACACACACACACACACACACACACAGAAACTCTGACCTAAACATCACATTAAAGGACTTAAACTGGATGCTCTGAAGTCAAGAAATCCAGGTGTAATGCAGGTGATAGAAGTGAAGCATCTGGATGAAGTTAGGCGTTCATACTGTATATTCATTTTTCAAGGCTATCCACTGTAGTTTATGTTTCTTAAATTCAACATTAGTGAATATGATGCTGTTTTATTACTGAAATCTATCTATCTATCTATCTATCTATCTATCTATCTATCTATCTATCTATCTATCTATCCATCTAGACCCTTTAATATGATCAAACGCAAAAAACAGTACTTTCCATCAAGGCCCATTTCCATGAATGTCTTTTTCTTCGTCATCTCAGTGTGTTTGGGTGTGTTTTATGCATTTGAAAATACAGTGTTTTGAAGGACATCCAAAGCCATTAATGTTAAAACAAGATTTAAACCAGATTTGAACACCAAAACAACTCTCCAGGATTTTCAAGGCCCTTTTTGAGCTCTGAACAGCACGCGTGCACACACACGCACGCACACACACACGCACGCACACACACACACGCACGCACACACACACACACACACACACACACACACACACACAGTGTTACATCAAATAACAATAAAATGCATCATCATTACTAATATTACAATATCTTTTTTTTCCTTCAGTTTACAAAAAAGAAGTCCTTGTCCTTGTTGGTTCACTAACTGGAAAATTTCCAGAGCTTTCTAGTAAATCTCATCAGTGGATGAAAATGATGAAATTCAGCTGAAAGTTCTGTAAATTTTTCCAGGTAGTGGAGCTTGTGCGAAGAATTTCTTAATTGAGGAGATTATATGTCAATGTTTAAAGACTTGTCTGAAAGCTTCAAGTTTTTTCATCCTTTAATATGTTTGAATTTGTGTTCAGTGAGAAAAGAAAACATCTTAACACCAATTTCCAGGTCCAAGTCCAATTTCACAAGAAAATATGTTCATCATATGTGAAGATTTTAGATCATTTATTAAGCCACAAAAATGTTATTTTGGCCCTTATCAACTCTCTTTTATTGGACGACCGCCTTTGTTGTTACTATTGTGACAATAAAAGTTAGTTATAGGCAAACCTTCAATGACCAATGATTTGAGGCCATATTGTCCAGAAACTGCAGCCCTGCAGGCTTTCAGCTGTATCTTTTTAGTCTCACTTCTACTTTTATACTTGGCAGACAAAATTTGTCTCAGTTTACAGTACACATAAGTTCTGTGGCCTCCAACTACCCAATCAGCGCAACCACAAAGCCATAACTCCATCTCTGGTGATAATGTCTCTGGTTTATTCAAGAATGCATAAGCTCACATCGCTCTCCCTGTGATTTCCAGACAACAGAGAGGCGAAGCAAAGTGAATGCGAAATCTTAAGAGTCACATCCAAGCAGGGCTTTGATGGCATCCACGTATTTGAGGTTGAAATAGGATTTCGGGGTTTGACATAACACAGGGAGGGACTGCTCAGAAGTGTTGGGCAGTTTAAAAAATGCTTCAATGCTAGCCAGAGACGTCAAACGAATACATAAAAAGGCAGCAGATTTTGGGGCGAACACCCGAAAATACACCGCTGTAAGAATGGATTTCACATGAAGAGAGGAGCAGAAAAATTGTGGTCAGTTTTCACTATTTTTATCTCCAGTAGAAAATAGCTCCAAATGAAAAACTGCCAAATTCAAATGAAATCCCATTCAGCTCCATTGTATTGGGTTGGCAGCAGAAGTCCCAGCATCAGATAACTCAGAGCCGTGCCAGACACCACTAGGGGTAAGCACGAAAATGTGTTTTAAGTTGTTTTTCTTTTTTTTTTTTTTTTTTATGTGAATGAACTGACCATTTAAGTTTGCCTCTGGGTACATCATCAAGTATCATTAAAGTACTCTTCCTTCCAAGAAATAAAAGCAATATAATTTTAAAATGAATGACGCAGAGAAAATAAAAAATATATAAAAAGATATTCTTCAGTAATTTATTGTTTAACTTCTGTAACTTTTCTTAATGGTGACTTCACTCTGCGAAGCTCTAGACTAGTGCAAAACCCATAATTTCAAAATGGGAAAAATAATCCTGAAAAAAATTAAGCACTGCTGAGGAAGCTCATGTGTTGACATTCAACTTTGAATAAATAAATAATCGACACTCACCCCTCTCTCATGCTCCCCGGGCTTGTGAGCGAAGATATCGGGCTGTTGGCGTCAAAGTTTCCCTCTAAGCCTTGATACCTGGAGCAGGTGTCTGCTGATGGAGGGAGGAAGTCCTGTTGTGTCCCCCTGTTGTGGACGGTGCTGCTGTTTGAATACACACCTGAAACACACACGTAGAGATTAAAGGTTTATTTCACTACCTTTATGAGTATGCGTCACCATGTGAAAAGTTTGCTCCTACGTGGAGGTTTGTGCAGCTACTGCTTGGATTTATATCCGTTACAGTGGAAACCAACAGTGACGCAGTTTCAGGAGAAGCATGTCCATAGAAACTCATACTCAAGCCCAAATGTGGCTGTATACTCAGGTACACATGGTTCAGTGGTAGATAAGTACCTTTACAGTGCAGTACTTGTACTTAACTACACTTTTGAATTACTTTTACTTTACATGAATATTCTGCCACTTTATACTTCTACTCCACTTCCATCAATATTGTACTTTTTACTTCATGACAAAATTATCTGGCAACTTAACTTACAAGTTACTTACGGATTATGATTATTAATATAAAATATAATCAACAAATAAATTATGAAGTATTATTACAGATGAAGATGAAGGTGCAGTGGTGTTTAGCCTGCCAACTTCAAGGGCTTATGGGAAATGGAGTTCATTAAAGGCTGGTAAAAACATCAATATTGAATAAACAACATGAGATCGTTTTACAAGCTGCTGTACTTGTCTAAACTTACGAAGTGAGCCACACAACATATGGTTAATAAAGTCTCTGTTCCCAGATTGGGGATTTGGGTTTTTGGATTGGACTTTGAATGATGTTTTCTTACTTTTGGAACAGAACTGATTTAATTTCAGCTCTCGCTACAGCCATCAGTGATGTCGCAAAATGATGATGACTAAGTGTTTAAAATCTCAATTTACTGTTCAGTACCAAGTAAACTGTTGGCCAGGCCTCACTTTGGGCTGGCACACACATGAGAGTCCTGTTCAGTTTCTTCTTTGTGGTATGGCACAGTGCAGATGTTGGATTATGATGTTTACTTATGGGTCATAAAGTGTGCATCTAAAATAAGCCCCTGATAGTTTATGGATGTGCAGGCAATAAAAGAGAAAGAGCCATATTATTTATTTTCCAGTATTATTATTATTATTCCTATTAGCAGCTCCCAGTACTCCTGCAGCTTGCACTTGAATCTCTGCTCTTTAGACTTGGGTTTCTTTGTTCCTGTTCTTACTTTCAATTAATACATTTTATCTTCACTGTTGACCAACTGTTTACAGATCCTGTTATGTGGGGTAGCAAGTGGGCTAGACTGTAGCCTGGGGTGGCCACATCCACATCAGTTTTCGACACAGCTAATGGTTAGATGGCTAACTACGCTAGCAAGAAACAGAAGCCACATTTAGTCACATTTCAGTCATTTTTGGCAAACACATGAGTATTTTGCAAACACACCGAGCCAGCAAACGGACAAAGGAGAAACTGATAATACCGCAAGAAGGGTTTGAGAGGCTTCTTTGAACAATTTAGCAACTTTTTTTTTTTCCATTTCAACAGTTCACATCCAGCTGGTTACAGTTTCCTTTCCCTGTGAAGTAGCAAGCAACAAATTTTTCAGAGTCACCTTTAAGACGGACGTTTAGTTTTCGCTGGTGTATTCATTTAAAAGCGTATCACGTATTCCTGCTTGCCATCAGCAGAGCTTTCAACACTTGGGTTTTGACGATGATGGGATATGTCACTGCACATCCAACATACCTACAGTAATGTACATACACAGGTATATACATGAGGTCTCACGCTCTAACATTTGGCCCCTTTCTGATAAGGACAAAGTACTCTTGGGACGTTTTCAAAATTAAACACTGACATGCTTGTTTCACCCTGGATAAACATAGCTCGTAGTGTGCCGTTTGAGGCTTTTCCCTCAAAGTCTTCTGGGTAAAACTGCAAGTAGTCTGAAGTAATAGACATGGACAGCTCTCCTGGACACTCTCTCCTCTCTTTTGCCAACTGAGCCTCAATGTACCTGACAGCTTCTTGATCCCAGTTCAGCCATTGAAAGGGAAAGAAAAAGAGCTTGGCTGGAAAACTGGTTTGGAGAAGCTGAAGGACGAGCGGGGAGAGGGCCAACTTGCCCGCAGTCAGTGCCCGGTAATTGGACAAGGTAAACACTGGCATGATGAGCTATCATCGAAGGAATGGGAGGAGGAGGGAGAGGAAAAGGAGCAAATGAGGCCATGGGAGGAAATTAAAGAGACAGCTTAACAGCCCAGGTGTTTGGCCAATTACCCCTTTTTCTTTGTTTTTACTCTTTTCCAGAGAGGTGTTGGAGGCTAAACACAGATTTCCACTGCTTTTGCTACCGTTTCATCTGCGCATACCTGTGAAGTCATCTAAGCCCGGTAAAGGTGAGCCGTTTCCTTGGTGAGAAGGGGCGGAGCTGTGGAGGTGCTGCCTCGCCAGACAATCGCTCAAAATGTCCGACTCCAGCATCGTGTGCACTTGAACCTGTCAATAAGACAAAACACAGATGTTCATGGAGAAGTGTAATACGGCACATTTAGTATCATGTTTTCACGTTGGTGAGCATGTGCGTTTGCCTGCCTGGATGCAGGGATGAAAATGATTATGATAAAGCTGTAGCTTAGTTGTCTTCCAGTTGTTGTTTTTTTTTTTTTTGTTTTTTTTTGGCAATACAAATTCCATGAGCTACATTTGAAAGTATTCACTTCTCTTTTGATTACATACAGTAGATCAATTGAAAACACTGAGTTTTCTGCAGGCGCTTTTCTACTGTTCATTTTTCATAGAAATGATGCTTGCACCAGATGCCTGGTTCTTGTTTTGTCTCGCGATCCAGCTTCTTAAAGTACAAACTCCAGAAATCTTGTTAGGCAATCTTTATTCCAAAATGTTCTAACAAAGTTAAGGCAAGACAATTTACTTTATTATCCAGCGTTAACAGAGCATCCCCCAGGACTTTCCAAAACAATTTATCGACAGCTCCAGGACTCAGAAGAAGCTCGCGAAGGACACCCAGGAACCACAAAAGAGGGATGAATAATCAGCGAAAAATGTTCGCTCAAACCAGTGTTTATGAAAATGCAAACTTCAAGAGCTGTGACACATCAGCTAAAAGAAATGTATAACCGTAAGGAGTTTTACGAAGTGCATGTTTAATATTTCAAAGTCCTGTTGAGCCCCATAGGATTTTACTGCAGCGCAGGGTGTGTTAGCCATGTCACAACTTACAAGCACACGTGGTTGTGTTTAAACCAAACAAGGCATGGGAATACACACAAAGCCCCAGTGTCACTCATGGTCCATAGAAAACAAACAAGGCCCAGATAACGCTGAACAATAGGCTCCCTATTCTGACTTCCAGGGAGTGTGTGTAATACTTTGTTTTGTTGTATTTCATCCTACTGAATCACAAACATGCTTCCTCTCTCCTGCTGCTGCTGCTGCTGCTGCTGCTGCTGCTGCTGCTGCTGCTGCTCTCCATCTCTTTCTCAGAGGAACAAGAGTTGTTCATGGAGCGAGTGTGTGTTACCCAAAACCACTGACCTCGGAGAAATCAATTTTTAAAATCTTATATAAAGAACCATGTCAGTGTAAAACTCAGTTTTTTGGAAGAGTAATATACTTTTTGTGCCTTAGGGTTAAAAAAAAAAAAAAAAAAAAAAAAAAAAAAAGGAACAAACTGTCTCACATGCCTATACACTGGATATTGACTTTCATCAGGTGGGACTCAGAGAATGAAATCAAGATACAATAGAGGAGAAAAGAGAGTTTTGCTTTTCATTTCCGTCTCTGAGACTGTCGGCCTTGCTTTTTCTCTTCACTACTCCTGACTTCTTCGCTCGACACTCTCAGGATCTCTTTTACTTTTTCTCTGATAAACTACTCTACGCTCATAAACTTCTCAAACTTAACCTGTAATATGTAACACAGTTCTCCAGCAGCTCTGATATTGAGCATTAGTGAGTATATTTGTTCTCACTCGCTCCTTAATGAATGTAAATATTGAGCACACACAGCTCTGACAGTGAATCTGTTAGTGACTGATGCTGCTTCTGTTGTTATATCCACTCACATATTTGTACTTAAAATGTTTAGTTTGGGAATTTGACACAGTAAATTTATAGCCATTACTATTTTGAAGGCAGATGCTTTTTTTTTCAATATCTTTGCATTTAACCTTTTTCACAAAGAGACAGATTTTACTCTTATTGGGGCAGAAACGTCTCTGAAACAGCTTTTACACCATCCGGTGACAATGAATGCAGCTAAATCATGGATCTTATTTCCATTAAAAAAAAATCTAACGTTGATGCGGATGTAGCTGAGGTCAAGGAACAAAACATGATCTTTAAATAATGAAGAAATGGGCCCACAGTTTACGGAACGTCCTGGTGGCTTGGGGATCGAAGACGCTGATTATGTAACTGCGACGTCTCTGGTTCAAGTCCAGCTGCGTACCACTATCTCCTGTCCAATAAAAGCTTCAAATGCCCCAAAGTGCCACCCCCCCCCACCGGCCTGCTGCTTTCACTGTATTGTATTCACAGCCACTTCTTCTAAACCACACTACTGCTTGCTGCTGGTCCACCACATCTAATCTAATAGAGTCTAATCTAATCTATTTTAGAGGCACAGGGAGGTTTGATTAAGGAGGCGTGTCTCTGATGCTGGTGGTCAGGGAAAGTAATCATATCCTGCTCTCAGCTAAATGTCCAATGTGTAAAAAAAACAAAAAAAAACAACAACCCATAATTGCAGTTGGTACCTTGACCTCTCTCTCCTGGAGGCCTTTGGCTGAATGAGCCTTGACGTGCTTCCGTAACGAGCTGGGGTCGGTGTAGCGCTTGGTGCAGCCCGGGATCTGACAGGCGTACGGCTTCTGTGAAGGAAAACCACAACAGGAGGCGGTGAGAGAGACGGCAAAGAGACAAAGGAAATGAAAATAAAATGAAAATAAAATGAAAATAAATTGCGACGCTGGCTTCTCATCCCCCTGTTATATATCATCAGTCTGTGAAGTTTATTGTGTTATTTTGTGATGTAATATCTCCTCCAGTGTTCAAAGGAACTGCGCTCCAGCTTGCAGTCAGTTCCTGCTCTGCGAGAGGAACAATCAAAAGTCAAAAATAAAAATGAAAATACTCTGAAGGATTTTGCAATCTCTTCCAATAGCCGTGTCTACTTCAGTATTTATGTTACACATTTACTGCATTTCCCATTTTGCCCTTGATACTGAGGGGGCTGAGACCAAAACCTCACATTTACCGTTAATGTTTAAAATCGCTGCAACGTTTTTCGCTGTCAAGCTCAATTTTAGCTGCTAGAAAACAAACTCGACAAGAGGAAATATGCCACAAAACAGCAAAATACACAACACATCAACAGCATTTTTTGAAAGGGTGTGTAAAGGTTTTAGGGATTGTGGTTCATAAAGTGGTAGAGGCTGAACCCTCTCGTCTGTGCTCTGCAAACATCCCAAAACTCAAGACTTTGTGATGTCGTCTTTACCAAGAACAGATTCACACAACGTCATGTGTCACAACACTCGCCACACGATGAAGTTAATACAGTCACACTGGATGATGTCAAACATAAAATATAATAGTGTTTACAAATAACAAGCAGAGTTTGGCTGAGGCGCATCCAGATGGGTCACAGGTGTTAATGCTGTGTACAGTAGTGTTGTGTATCACAAGCAGAAACATTTTGGATAAATATTGTAAATGCGGCTTGTTGGCGTGACAACTGCACTAACAGTGACAGGATGGACATGTAGATCGTGTCAACATTTTACGTAACGTGATTCTCAACTGAGAGCGGAGCATATTTACCTTTCGTCTGCAGGCTTAAGGAGAGGAAGAGAGAGAGGAGTTAAGAGATGTACTTTTTCCTGTTCAGCCGTAAATCAGTTCATTCATAAGGTAAACTGTGAATCAGCAACCAGTCCAGAGGTTTTTCTGAATCAAAGACGCACATATTCTGAAGTTTGGAGACTGCACAACACATCCCTTACTGAGATGTAATATATAACATAGCTATATGTCCCTTTATAAAGGGGTGGTGTTGCCACATATAGCCCCTATAAGGGGATATATTATCATCACATATACATCCGCTGGACATATGTATAGCTTCTGTGTTGTTTTCATGTCGACCATGCTACTTTTGTCCTCCCAGGTCAAAATTGATCCAATAAGTTTGACTATTGATAAAACAGGAAGTATAGAATTATTACACCTTTTCAGTCAGCTTCATTCCAACTCATTACCATAACTTTTACACTTTTTTTATTTTATTTTATGGTAAATAGACCTAATTTACATAGAAATACACCTTGTTTTTGAGTTGTTTTTTTTTTAAAAAGTAGAAATTCTGAATTATTTTTTACTATAGTTCCAATCAGTGCAACATTGGTTGATGGATTATCACAGACAGGTATATGTCAAAGTTTAGTCAGGATACTGCAGCACATAATGACACCTGTTGTCTTCCCTGAAGACCACAGATGCTATAAATATGAATAAAACACCTCAAAATACTGATCATTACTTACATTTGCAAAAAAGTGTAGTAAGGAACCATCCATGTTTTTTTCAGGCAATTACGTGAAAGAAAACCATATTTCTGATATAAAAACATTTGAAAACAACAGGACAACAGGAGGGATAAAGATATTTGTTTATAACATGTATGATAATAGAATTTGAAAATGTGCATATATTAAAAATATCTATGAAGATTTTTAATATGGTATAACATGTTGCCATCATGTATGTTAATTATAATATATTCAATTTATGTATACAAGTTTATCAAAACAGCATACATATACAAATTCTAAATGTTTCTATATGTTTTTCATTATTAAGTTCTCATTCATTTTAAACATGTCTATCTGCCCATTCTGTGAAACTGGTCTCAGACTTTTGGACCCTACTGTGTTAATGATATCACCATGTACTGACAGGCTCTGGGATAGATATATATTCATGTAATATATGTCTACAATATAGGGATACATACATAAACATACACATTTGTATGGGCTAGCCATATATGTCAATATATGAAATAGTTTTCCAATAGGTTTCATAAAAATGTTAACACATTTTATTTTATATGTGCATGTATGTCATATGGAAATTCGTTATATGTACAGTACCAGTCAAAAGAACAGACTGGTAGTGTACATATATCACATATGGGATATATTGTAGACTTTCATCTTCACCTGATCGCAGTGGAATATATTCCACGCAAAAAACAAACAAACAAACAAACAAAAAAATCGGTACAAATATATAAATGTTTTAACACCATTAAACTTAAGAAGCATGAAAAGAAAAAGCTGTTTTCTGTTACTGAGGCTGAGTTGCTTGTATTTCACAATTTCATCAAAGCTGTGAGTTAGGATGAGTTAACGAGACCATTTCCATGAATCTAATTCCTTACAGATTTTTTTCCCCCCTTTTCATTACTCACTATTCAACCAGGTGGAGTGAATTAAGTTCCCATGAAAACACATGTACAGAATTTAGTTGAATCTTGTAGGTTTAAGTACCAAGATCTGAACATAAAAGAATAATGGTAACAGCAACGCAGCAGGTTTAAAGATAATATTTTGAACCAATTAATCCTTTGCTCATTAAACTCCAGCTCTAAAAATCTGGTAGGTTTCAAAACAGCACAAATCAGGTCAGTAGTGTCCAAAAGTTGAGAGAGAACGTGTATGTGTGAGTTTGAGAAACAAGGGGACAGGACTGAGGAACTGAAAAGGAACTTTGTAAGTTTAAAAAAATGTTAATAATTGAATGAAAAGTCATACTAAAAGGCCTATAGGTGTCAATATACTGGAGATAGTGTAAAAACTACATCTGATGTTACTTTTTTATGTCAGATTGTGTTTTGTACAGAGAGATACAATAAGCTGCAGGACCTTTTCAGCTATGTTGCATCGTTTTCTATTGTGCGGTTTTATTGAGAGAGTTTGCTTTTGTTTCCTCTTTTGTTATCCCAAATAGTTTGTGTAATCCTTAACACGAGAATTGAAATGAAATTTAAACATTTCAAATTTCAGGCGTGCAATCAGATGTAGATCTTGCACCAGAGCAAGTAAGCACTCCTCCACAGTGCCTAACTCTACATGCTGGCAACAATTGGGCAATATCTTATTCTTTCCAAACTGTTTCTGAACAATATTCCCTGAGAGCCCGACTCAGAGTCTAAACAGATCAACTCTCAATGAAGTGCTGAGCTCTACTGTCTTTCTAATCTTAAAAAGTAATGCCATGTAAAGTGATGATGCCATTTCGTAATATTGAGACGTTGTGTAAAACACACGAATATAAATGTCAATGTGCAAGTGTGTGTGTGTGTGTGTCAGAATCGAAACAAAGACTTTCTTTCAAGAAAGTGTGTTTTCAGTTGCTATTTTGATCGATAATTCATCATCTTTCACCATTATTGCTGATTTTGGCTGCATCATTTTTGGCTACCAAATCCTCACTGTCACGTACACACGTCTGAAATACAAACTGGGAAACAAATCCATCAGAAACTGGAGTAAGGTAGCTGTTAATACTGGCTGTAAAGTATTAAAAAAACAAAAAAAAACAGCTACATTTCAAGTTATGTGAGCTGCAAATTGTTTGTGGAGACACGTCTGCATGAGGCTGACCTCATTTTAGAAACAAACCCCAAACATTCGTAACACAATACAACTTATTTAGTCAAACTCAAGTCACTTGCATTGACACCAGTCTTTTCCCGGCTGGTTGTTATACTATATTCAGCAATTACTTAAAATCAGACGGGCCAGATGTGATGGCGCCAGATGCGTCTGATTCTTCATTTGTGACGCAACTGCGAAGCCGCTATCGGCCGGCATGAAACCACGAAAAGAAGAAAATGTCTTTCTCCTCTTGTTGTGCTAACACCGCAGTGCAACGTACAGCTTCATGTCATCCGTGTAATAAGAGGTCTGATTTGTTGGATTACTGCTAAGTCCTCATCGCTTGTCAGCAGGAGTAAAAATAACTGTGGTTTACAGGAGAAACCCGCAGCAGGTATGCAGTTTCACAATCCTAAAGAATGCCCAGGCTCTATATCAGGCAAGTATGAAGAACGAGGAGGGAAGAAGGGAGCGGTGACCCTCTGAATAAAGATGATTTTGTGTGTGTTGAGTTTCCCTTATTGCCTCACAAATATTGTGTATCATAAAGAAGTACGCTGAACAACGTGTAGTCTTTGGAGAGAGAGGTTTTCAGACACGGACTACTTCACATGGCTGGCTTCATCTGACAGTTAAAGTGATGGTTTGTTGTTATTCAGACTTTATGTGAGTGTTCCTTACAGCGTTATTAAGACATGTACAGTGACAGAAGAATTATTCAGCTCCTTAAGTAAAAGGATCAATACCACAGTGTGGAAATACAAAAAATTCACTGAAGTAAATAGACGGTGTTAAATTATCACATTATAGCCTTTGGTGGAAAGGTGCATTTAGAGTTTTGAAGTACTTTACTTGAGTATTTCCATTTTCTGCTGCTTTATATTTCTTCTCTACTTTTTACTCCAATACATTAATATCACAGATATATAAGTTACTTTATCAAGTAAAATTTTACATTCAAGAAGTGTACAGTAAGCATATAGACACTGATGCATCAGTATTAACAATCTAACAACGTCAGACCGACTCAGATATCAGACATTTTACTGCACAACAGATGCTTTTACTTTTGATACTTTAAGTGCATTTTGCTGATGATATTAAATTTAAGTAGGATTTTGAATTCATTTTGAAATCATATCAGGATCTGAGTACTTCTTTGACCCCTGACTGTATAAGTAAGTTAAATGTTGTAGCAGGCCCAGGTGGAGCTGATGTTAATTACTAAGTTTATAACAATCCATCAAATTTGTTTTGTGGTAAAATCCTGATCTACAAAGTATCCAGAAACTAAAGCCGTCAGATAAATGTAGTGAAAAGTATATAATTTCTCTTTGAAATGTAGTCAAGTAGAAAGTAGTGCAAAATAGAAATACTCAAGTTAAGTACAAGTGCCTCAAAACTGTATTTAAATACATGACCTGAATAAATGTCCTTTCCATCACTGGACATGAACATACCTTCATGGAAAGAGCGACAATCCTGGCATGATATTTGGCCCCTGGTGCACGACCGGGAGCAGCGCAGAGTTAAAGAGTCTGGATTTCTAGGAAGAAGCCAGTTTTCTGTTCTCTCACGGGCTGCATCAGTGGTGGATTTCATAACTTATTTTGCAGCAGAAGCCTAAATTTATGACCATGGTGAGCGCGATGGGAAGCTCGCCCCCATGTGACGTTATGAGATGTTGAATTATGCTGCCTGTTTTATTCAAGACATTAAGCTGGCACTCCCATTTAATTTCATGCAGCTGGCATGAATGAAAATAGGAAGTATAGGGAGGTTTTGATGGGTTTTTTTTTTTTTTGATAACCTGATCAGACACGAGGAGAATCTCCTCAATAACAAACAAACAACAAACTTCAACAAACTTCTCATTCAGAATTTTGTGATTGAATGAACTGATTTCTCTTCTTTGTGAAATGTCAAAAAAAGGCATTCACTTCAGATTTATCGAAAGCGTAAGACTGCATGTGTGTGCAATAATCTACCTGATAAAAAATGCTGTTCACTGGTTTCATGCTGTATACAAACTATAAAGGCAGGTGTGGTGTGGATGGTGATGTGTTGTCGTCCGCTGACCGTGTCCAGGTGTGTGCGCTGGTGTTTGGCTCGATCACTGGAGTTGCTGAAGGCCTTGAGGCAGCCGGGGTGCTGGCAGATGTACGGTTTCTCTCCGGTGTGGCTCCTCAGGTGGATCTTCAGGTTCTCCAGACGGGAGAACGCCTTGGAGCAGCCCTCAAACTGAAAAGGAAAACAAAAAAAAAAAAAGTCTGATTACATAAAGACTGATGAATTAGTATTTCCATAATGTGGGTGGTAGGAGGCAAGAAACTTTGTCCAAGTGTTGATTTATTTACATGGAGTGTGACACCTTGAACATGTGTAACCAAAAATATGTACAAGCAACTCATAGCAACTCAACTCCGCGTGCATGCGGCTATACTGCTGCGCTCTCCCTGCTAGCAGAGGCAAGCACTGCTTAAATACCCCCCCCCCCCATTCAACTCCAGCCAACTGCACCGGACCATTTTTGCCATCCCAATCTCCTGAAAACAGCGGTCTGACGAAGTTAATGGTATTTTCAATAACCTCCCAATATGGCCCAGTCAGTCTACCATTTTAACCTGCATACATAAATAACTCAAACTGAACGTTCACTAAAGAAACACCCCCCGCCCCCGCACTTAGTCTACCCCGGTGACATCACTGATGATGTACCCAGTGTAGACAGACAGACAGGAAGTGTTTGGGCACTTCCTCCTTTAGTCCCTGGAGCACATGGTGGGTATGGTGAGCAGCAGACACACAAACAATTGATTTGTGGAACTTAAACTGTACCAACAAACAATAACTTATCTTAACAATACATGTCTGTGTTTTATTAAAAGAAGTAATGATGTAATGATGTACGAACTGTAACCAAACAAAATGCAAAACACTACAAACCCGGGTTTACTTATGCATCTGCAAATGGTTGCTAAATGATTAAACTATGATGGAAACAATTGACGTTCAGGTAAAAGAGGGGGACAAATGGTGCGTCCTCACCCACTTTGTCGCACATAAGAAGCAGGATGCTGGTTCAGAACTTGTGTGAACTTGCATCATTTGCTGCACGCTTTCATCCAACACAGGACACATCAAGAGCAGTTCAGAGTTCAATGTTTTACTCGAGGAAACTTCAACATTAAAACCTTAACGGAGAAACCTACGCTACCACCTGAGCTACAGCTGCCTCCAGTTTGAGGGGCTTGCTTGATAAAGGGCTGGCTGGAAGAAAACGTTTATTTAGGATGCCCCCTAAGTGGATGATGCATTAAAGGATGAAAACATTTTTTTCAAGTCTGCCTTAAACAGTGTATTCAGAAAGTCTTAAGATCCCTTCAATTTTTCACATTGTTAGGTTGGAGCCTTATGCTACAATTTAAAAAAACAACAACAACAAAGAATCACATTGAAATAAGTGTTCAGAGTCTTTGCTTTGACAATTGAAAAGTAGTTGAAAAGTCCGGTGCCTCCCATTGCTTCTGTTTTACGCCTTGATTGGAGTCCACCTATGGTAAACTCAGCTGATTGGACATGATTTGGAAAAGACGCCTCTTTATATAAGGTCTCACAGCTGACAATGCACATCAGAGCCAAAACCAGGCCCTGAGGAGGAAGGACCTGCCTGCACAGCTCAGAGACAGGATTATGTCGAGGCACAGATATGAGGAAGGATATGAAAAAATTCTGCTGCACTGAAGGTTCCCTAGAGAACAGTGTCCTCAATAAATCTTAAATGGAAGAAGTTTTGGAACAACCAGAACTCTTCCTTGAACTGGCTTCCTGGCCAAACAGAGCAATCGGGGGAGTAGGGCCTTGGTAAGAGAGGCAACCACGAACCTGATGGTCTCTCTGGCTGAGCTCCAGAGATCCTGTGTGGAGATGGCAGAAACTTCCTGTGAGGGCCAGGTTATACTAAAAAGCCAAAATCCAAAATCCAAAACAGCCACCCTAGCAGACTGAGTCGAAAAACTAGGTGTCACACAGAGAGGGAGATAACAGCACTTGTTTTCAGTCTCTCCAAGAAGACATTCATAGGGTTTCACTCAGTTGTTCAGGTAAAAAATAAATGAAAGAAAGAGGTAGAGAGAAGTTCAAACCCAGCCCAGCTTTCTCACCTCCACACAGCTGGCCGATCCCTGAGTGAAGTGGGTGTGAAAGTCAGATCATCGCTCTTCGGAAAGTTACAGAAACGGTCGCACACAGCTCCTCTAATCTGACTTTCAAAGCTATCCAACAAGCCGCTCTGACAGAACACACTGGCCCCATACTTGCTCCTCCAACAGAAGTGATGGGGGACAACATCAGCACACACCGCTTGTTCTGTGTAAAAACATTTAGCTGAGCTAAAATGAGGCTTCAGCATTCAGACAAATCAAGTTAGCGTTCTTCTTAGTCCAAAATCCTCTCTGTGTTGACTGTCTGTCCTCAGCTCAGCAGGAAAACTCTGTCCAGGGAAACAGAGAGAGGGAATTTGTACTAAAAAGACTTCCACTTGGTTTGACTAACATACAGTATGTCAGGGACAACGAGTAGCTCTATGGCCGTTACATATTTATGTTGTATAGGTCCAAGTTTTACCTTCCCTCTGGAGACCAGAAGACATTAAAACATCAGGACTTTTATCCTCCTACACAAATCAGAGACAAATCCCTTCAGCATCTTGAAACCTTGTTGGCCTGTGACATTATTTCATTTTATTTCATTTCACAACACGTATGAGTGATGTTGAAGGCCCAGCCAACAGAAATAGCTAGTAAGGAGGCAATTTATCACAATTTAAAATCATACAGTTTAGGTTATTGAATCATAAACTTTCAGGTAGCGCACACACACACACACACACACACACACACACACACACACACACACACACACACACACACACACACTGTGGTAGGTAAAAGCGTTTCTGTTGGACTGACGCCAGGCGAGGAGCAAATATGAGAGTCAGCAGGCTAAACACTCTGCAGGCCAGAAACCAACGCTTTATAACTTTACAGAAACTCTGTCACATTCAATCTCTGATCTCAAAGATTTCAAATTAGTCTCGTTGTCAAATGTGACAGAGGTTACAGGGGAATATTTCTCAACGTGTGTTTCCAACCTCCTGCAGCACTAACGGGGAGTCACAGAAGGTTTAGACAAATTTTAACATTCTTCAACGAACAAAACTGCCTGAATTTCACTTTATGTGGTAAATCCAACAGATTTGTGTAAATTAATCTCATAATTTTTTTTGCCATGAATTGGTGGTTGAAAAATAAGTGTCTTCTACTAACAAGAACAATTAGGACTCAAAATGAGGGCAATTTCGTCCGTACACTTCAGAGATATTAAAAGATTAATTCCAGATATGGATTTGTTTCTGAAAAGGACTAATAGTGCTTTAGAAATAAGACTTTAAATTTGACCCAGTTGTATACTAAAAACTAGAAAAACAAAGCCTGTTTCATCCTTTTCTAAACTAATCTGAAGGGAAATGTGGAAACAGTCTTTTCTGCCTAATATTCATTCCAGGGTTTTATTAGGTCTCACTAATGAGTCAGTAAATGTCAGACACCTCATTTGCTTTAATAAATCTATACATGAAAAAACAAACCACTACATCATGGTGATTAATTAATTCAGGGCTTAAAATCGCCTCGGCACAAAAAGCAAAAAGTTATAAGCAGCCCTTAAAAATACAGAGCAGCGAAGCTCAGACACATAAGAGGTCACATACACTGATGGTGTGGAAAAGTGAGGACACAACATGTTGCGTTTCAGATTTAACGTCAACATCTTTCAGCCTTATATCAACGGAGCTGTTTAATTCTAATCAAACGCATCAGTTTGAGTTATTTGAAAGAAAGACAGATCTTTCAGTCATGTACTACATTGCTACTGCAGTTTAAAGGCTATTTTTCCAACAAAAACAAAAAATCAAACAAATGAAATTGCCTACGCTTCCTAAATAGAAACAGATTCCTAAAAACCTTTGACAGGGTAGAAACTGGAGCACAGCTCTGGTTATAGTTTATGTTCTTTATTTCCTCAGCAGCGTGAGAGATGTATAGTGTGTCTTCTTAAAGCTTCTGTTATAAGAATTATGTTTCCTTTATTACCTCCACCAAAGAGGTCATGTTTTCACCCGTGTCTGTTTGTTCGTCAGCAGGATTACACCAAACGTACTGGAGCGATTTGCAGCGGGCTTGGTGGAGGGATGGGGCATGAGCCAGGGAGGAAGCAAGTACGTTTTTGGGGCAGATCCAGATCATTTACTGTGAATTTGAATTTTTTTTTTCCCCCTGAAGTCTGGTTTATGTTGTTTGACAGTGGCCTTGGCGGAGGTCTGCATTGTCTGAGTGCCCTTCTAGTTTTTACATGTGATGAGAGAATGAATACTAATCCTATAAACACAAGGAAACTATACAATAATCTTTACTCTGTTGAAAGGTATCCGGCAATTTTAGATTCAGTTTGTTATTCCTTACTATGATTGATCTCTCCTGTGATGTTTCCCATGTTAATCATCACATTTTTGAATGTTTGTCTTCATACGGTGCAACATGTACTTAAAGGATAAGGCCGGTGATATTCTATATGTTCAGCAAGTCAAGAAATCCCATGAAAACACCCAAACCAATAATGTGTTAGTCCATGTCTTTGTGCTTTCAGCAGCCTGTGGCACTCGGCTCCAATAAAGATGTAAATCTACATCATTTTTTATTTTATTTTCTAAAGAAATAAGACTGAATAATTTTCTTAAGAAAGCAGGGCACTGTAGTTTTGAGCAAACGTTACTCAAGCAGGAGTAAACAGTCCATTTGTCAGGGATTATTTTCCACCGTGGATGAATACAGATTTGGTCCTTCAAATTAAATGTCAGAATACATCGTTTGTACCTGTCCCGCAGAATGACGCACAGAAAGTGTTTTGTGAACCGACGTACCCTATCACCGTCGGTCTGTGACTTCTAGATTTGAATAGAGTCTGGTTCTGTCGGTTCTGTCGGTTCTGTCGGTTCTGTCATCTCCACTGTTAGTAAGTGCTGCTGATGGTGGGAACCGTTGTGTTTCTGTATAATATTGTAAGATCTTGACCACAAATTACTCAGTAAAGTGCCCTGAGATAATGGATGTTATGATTTAGCACTATATAAATAAAATAAGTGATTTAAAACCGTTATAAATCACTGTTGATGTTTTATGATGTGACAACGCTGTGGTTAAGGTTTGGTTAGATTTAGGCACAAAAACGACTTGGCTCGGTTTGGGGAAAAATCATGGTTTAGGTTAAAATTACTAGTTTGTTAAGGGTTGGGGAGCTTCAATGTTCATGGTTACAGTAATGAACACTTGGTTGAAATCGTGGTCATGCTTTGAAAAAAAAGAAAAAAGAAAAAAGCAGACAGTCAGTTGGAAACAGGACACAATGTTTAAGTCTGATGTTTTATTGACCCATCCATTCGCCCCGACCTCCTCCCTCTTCGGACTTTGTGGCTCTGCGATCACGTCACCTTACGTCCTCCTTTGCCAGAGGACAAGAGTCATAATTCCTGCTGCCACCAGACGGCTTTGTCACTTGAATCTAAATATTTTTCGTTTCGGGGCTTTTGCTGAAACGACTGACACTGTCCTGTTTTTCTGGGAGGATGTAGGTCACTGATGTGTATTTAATAGTTTCTGGACAACAATGGCGCTCTATGGCACCGGCCCTGGCTACACAGACAATACTTGTTACTAGGATCGTTGTAGGTTTTGGTCTTTTCATGGGGTTCGTTGACAGGAAGAAAAATATAGACCATCACCAGGCTTGTGCTTTGTATCTACATATGAATGTCATCTCAGCACCATAAATTATGAATGATGGATCTACCACAGTGGATTTAAAAACACTTAGGGAGCTTGTGTTTACTGCCTGAATAGCACCTGTCTAATATGAGTCCTGACATTATGAGCTGGTAAATAAGGCTGAATTCATTAACAAACACTGACTACATTCATGGGAGATATTCATTTTCCATTGCAGCACCAGGAATGACTTAATTTACATGTTTTGGCCTGAGAGCTTCACGAAAATGGCATGACGTTATTCACGTAGTTCAAGTGTGACTAATGACTTTTTTTTTTTTTTGTGTTTGTGTTGATTTAATCGTATTAATCTGTTCGCAGGCGTCTCCCTGCAGTAATATATTTACAAGCTGGCAGTAGATTATGTCATTATAATGAACTAATTCACTTAAGTAGGAAGCGTGTCCCTGAGTGAAAATTTCTGAATGAATTATTAATTGGAGTCCCAGGTTGATGACAGCGGCGGAGTCGCTGGGGAATTACGGAGAGAGTTACTCACTCTCAGGGACAGGGATTTGGCACCGAACTGAAGGTCATCATGGGACAGACGTGTCCGAGCCGCAGTGTGTGTCAGAAGATGACTCATGACAAGTGATGGAGGGTGAGCCTGCGCTGGGGCTCAAAGGCCACAGTTATGATGGTTAATGCAGAAACATCACAGTCTCTGTCTTACCTAATGTGGTCTGGTTTTGTCTTCATCTTGGACCTGTGTCTTGAATTTTTCAAAATACATGTGTTTCTTTTGTTGCATTCATCGTGTCATCTTGAGTTTATAGTCCGTCATCCTTGAAAGATAGACTGCCCGTTCCATAAGACAAGTTTTCCAGAAACATGAAAAGATATTTAATACTAAGAGTTTTTCTCTGTGGGAACCGTTTTTGATACATCAGTATTTCTTTAGGGCCGGTGTAAAGGATTTAAGGGGATCTATTGGCAGAAATGGAATATAATATCTATAATGATGTTTTTGAGAGTGTATAATTACCTGACACTGAGAATCTTTGTGTTTTTTATTTTACTAATGTTTAAACATCGCAGTTGCACATAACATAATAGCAAAATTCTAATTATTGACCAATTTCTTGATTAAAGCAACACAATTTTGTTTGGCTGCCCTGTAACATACACGTATCGTACTCGTTTACTTATATTACTCTCCTGCTGAATCTCTGCCAAAGAAGCGGCTCAACAGGCGTTTAGATTTCTGTGACTTGTCATATTAAACCACACCTGCTGTTACCGTGGGAATGACAGATATCACAGAATCAACCAGGACTGAAGGATTACAACTTAAGCCAAGGCGACAACTTCAGGGGCTGAAAAATGAAGCGCCAAAAAAACTTCAAAGCAGAAAAAAGAGTCCATCTTTATAAACAGTCCGTGCTTTAGAGAGCCGGCATGTGTCGGGAGACAAGTTGATCAGAAACTTCAACTTCTTCTCTGTGGGCACACAGTATCTACAGGAATGAATGAGTTATCTGCTTATTACATCTCTGAATACAATATGCCACTTAATAACTATAAATTAATTGCATTTGTCAGAATAACCTGAGGCTGATCAGCTGGTCCTCGGAGGCTCGGTGCTACAGACACATCCTCCATTCATTCACTACTGCCACATTTCCTCCTCTGGTATGCATGAGTAAGGGAAACCTGTCGCGAGTAGAGGAAACCGTTTGATCATCTCTAACAGACTGTAGATCACCGGGTGCACAGTCTGAGGGAAGTCGAGACGTACTGTAAGCAAGTTAATGCCTTTCAAACCCAGTTAAACCTCTAAATGGCCCATTTGAAGCAAACACAAAGTTGGAAAGGATGAGGTATGTTTTGACTGACTGAAAATGGTAGCAACTGCTGCTGAGCTTTGATTCCTGCATGTTTGGGATGAATCTACGTGACTGAAAATGGCTGAGTCGGCTTTGAATTGAAGAGGATTTGCTTTTTTCTTGCATTTTTACATTTCATCTGTGGACAGAGACTTCAACATGTTTACTTGGATGGCAGAAAGAGGAATTAATAAAGACTTTACAAATGAAAAAAAAAAACAGAAAAACAATCTATCCTTGAATGGATTGGGTGACAGGTTAAAGGAAAACCCAACATTAAGTGTGTTAGTGAGTCGTTGTTCCACCTTTAGCCTTCACAGCAGCTTCGTGGCTTCGTTGTCATAGAGTCTCTGAACTCTACTGGAGAAATGAACAACATTCAACCAAAAGATATTCTCTCATTTGGCGTTTGGAGAGCGCTGTTCAACACATTACTCTAAAATCTCCCATAGGTGTTCAGCTGTGTTGAGATCTGGAGGCTGTGAAGGCCATTAGCGATGGGTTGATGAAACCTTGTTGAAGCATTGAGAGTTTCAGGCCAACTGTGTTGAAAGTGTTCACTCGGGACTCGTAGAAATACCACTATACACGCTGTCTCCACAACCTCCTCCATATGAACATTTCACATCCAAATGACTGCAGTCAACGACACAAACAAGAAACTGCTGAATCTAAATGGATGAATTAAAACTAAAATTAATGAGAAATGGCAGAATGTGAAAATCATTTTCACAATACAGTTGTTTTTTTTCAGTTGTGGGATGTATCAAGGGTTTGAAATGGTTACCACCTCGCTGTGCATGCCCATGCGGGTGATTTATTTCAGGACTCTTGAGCGCTTCAAAAAGCAAATAAGCATAATTTGCCTCATCTACCTCTACCTACTGTAAGTGTGAGTGACTTGTATAATTTGCATTCAAAATAAAGAACTGTGCATGCCTAGAAAACATTGGACACTTTTTTTTGCAAAGGCAACAGAAAGGAGCATCACCTTAGACACAAATAATATAGCTCTACAGCAATCCAAAAATAAATCTAGTCTGAAACTCTATTGTGCCTGTGCTGAAAATATTCTGATATGATTTTTCCCTTATCTGACCACATCTCTGGGCCAGCACCAGGCAGCTGTTCAGGTGTGACTATTGTCAGGAGCGCTGATAGAAGTGTTAAAACTTAATCTCTTAAAGGAATATCTAATAGTCCAGAAAACTATTTCTTGCAATCAACCATACAAAAGTAGACTCACCATGCATTTATTGGGTTTCTCTCCAGAATGAACCCTCATGTGGATGAGCAGCTTGTAGCGAGCGTTGAACGGTTTGTGGCGCCGCACACAGCCGGCCCAGAAACATGCAAACTCCTCCCCTTTACGCTGGTCGATGTGCACCTTCTCGATGTGTCTCACCAGCTCCTCCTGGCTGCTGTAGGTGGCACTGCAGTCGATCCAATGACACAGCTGCTCCTGTTGGTCCATTACAGGCTCCTGTCCTACGGGTCCGTTTAGCCTCGGGGAGTGCAGGGGGGTCTGGGTGCCGTCCTGACCGTCGTGGCATTGGAGGGGCTGGCCAACATGGAACAGCTCCCCCTGCTGGTTGTTCACTGGAAAAGGTTCCCTCTTACACGGCAAGAAATCATCTGCAGGCTCCTGTTTGATGGTGTGATACTCTTCTTGAAGCTTTCGTTGTTGCTGAGATGTTTTGTCGCTGGCATCAGAGAGAGGTAAAGAAGAGGCAAAAAATAAAGATGCTGAGGAGGAGGTGGAGGACGCCGACGATGAGGGGGAGCAGAAAGAAGGAGATGTGGTACAGCTGGTGAGCATGTAGGATAAAGGGAGGGAGGGCTGAGGGTAACAACCGAACCTCTGGGTGATTTTAGGGTCTACGTGTGCTGTAGTGGCAAAGTCCTCCATAGTCTTTTCTATGTGGGATCCATTAGTCTTACAGTTGAGTAAGGAGGTGAGGTCTCGCCCCAGGGAGGACAGGGACAGGGACGTCCTCGGTAGACAGCATAGGCCACCTGAATGTATCGACGACTGACAGAAGCCACCAGAAGACAGCGGCGCCTGAAGGTCCTCGACATCTTCGAACACACTCCCAAAACCGGGGAGAGTCATCTGGGCGTCTGGAGGTCCGAGGTCAGGGGGCCACATCCTGGCCCCCGCTCTCTGACTTCCAGCAAGAGATCCCTTCAGTAAAATCGTTGCTGTTAATTGTCTTGAAGCAGCTTTAAGAATCCATTGGAGGTAAACCTGTCCACAGCATCTTTCACTGCTCAAATGTAATCGAATTGATCTGCAGCTGCTGGCATCTTCCGCCTGTGTAATCTTGTGTCATTTGTTCCAAACTGCTGCGTGGTCAGTCATCTCTCGTGCTCTGTGGGAGACAGAAACCAAACCCAAATGAGTCACCTTAGAAGACAATAATCACTAATGCAAAACACTTTCTGAAACAAATAACATAAACTCAGCTTTGTGAAACAGCAGTGGAGGAAGTGCTCAGATTTTTTACTCATGTACAAACAAAACACGATAAAAAAAACTCAAGTAAAACTCAACCTAAGAATTGGACTCTTTCAAAGGGTGACAAGATAAATCTCGGAGGGTGTGATATGATTGATGGGGCAGGAAAGACAAGGTGTTGCTACACAAATCTCTTAATTTTTTTGACTTTTCTGTCTTCTTTGCTTGTTTTTGTAAAATACTGGCTAGTTTTAGCACTGTGGCTCGAACAGCTGTTTGAATGAAACTATCTGAGAAGTTTAGAGGGGAAATGTCTCTTTGATGAAAGGGCTTTTTTGTAAGAAGGTCACAAGGTTGGAGACAACTTCCTTAATGTCGAACAAAAATCTTAATCTGTAAAGTGATTTAAATTATCAGACCAATGCTTGAAATATAAAGTGAAATAAGATGGAAATGCTGAGGTAAAACTGCCACAAAATTAGTACTTTACGAATTTAGCTTTGTGCTCCTATAATATTGTTGCACTCACAATGGATTTAAAAAAAAAAATCCATTGGATCAAAATTGATGCAGCAGATATCATCTCTTTTACTCCACACTCTTCTTCCATGTCTGGTGCCTTCATTATCCACAATGCAACTTGACCACCAACAGTTCGGTGCGAGGCTTGGGTGCGTTATGCTAATGGAGGCTAATGTAGCCTTAAGCAGAGATGAGGAGCGGACCACAGAGGTCTGGTAAACTCACTCACTCTCTGACTCCACACCCCGATTTTTTTTTCATTTTCAAACTTGCAGTCTTCAGACCCAACCGGCACTGACTCAGGTGATATATTTCCCACAGCATCCTCTGGAGCCACAGACATTTTTTCACATATTCCTCTAGACCTGTAAACAGACTTTGATGTGTGAAATTTATGGACTTTTCCTTTACTAGAATAAAAACATCCCACCACTGTTTTGAACTACTATCGGCTAAAATGACTCAGGATTTATTGTGATGTTTTGGAGCTATGACTCACTTGGTGTGACAACTTGCCATGCCATTCCAAGGGTTGAAACATAAAACCTTAAATGTGCCACCCTCTCTGAACATTAATCCCTCAGTTCTAGCCATCGGCAACACTGCGTTCAAACATTAACAGCAAATGGACCGAGGTGACCAGCGGAGAAGTTTTTGGATGAAGTGAAACCCAAACAAACAGCGTGTCCGACCCCCTTGTCCACAGGCTTCAATCAAGCATTTCTGAGTGCGACGCTGCAGCGGGTGTATATTTGGTTTCCTTTGAGCCGCTGTAACAGTCGGGGCTGATTCATTACTGCAATCGTTAAGGCCACCCTTGCAGCAAACAGCCAGGCGTTGTGTGGCAGCCGACTGCTTCAAACCTGGTCCAGATGCTTGTTAATAGAGGACGAGTAATGGACCACATCTCTCTGCTAGCTTGTGATGCAGGACAGGGAGGCTGGAAAATGGTGGGTCAAACAGGAGTCCCCCTCCCCCGCCCGCCCCTGTCACATATATACAGTAGCTCCACTGTGCAAAAGTCCTTGAGTGTTAATAGGAATAGACTTGATTTCCACTGTTGTCTGCCATCTGCCAGATATTGATGATCTAATTTACAACAGGATCTCTGCCATGTGTAATTAGTCATCGGAAAGATTCAATGGGATTTTTTATGCGGATAGTTACTTTACAAGCCAGAAACTCACTCAGCTAAGAGGATGAGTAAGTTCACCTCTGTAGTTATATTAGCTGACAAAGGACTCACTAAGTGTAGGTTCAAGCCCATAGTTTCCTGGTATAGTCTGGTTTACAGTTTTATGATTCTTCCCGTAAATCGCTGGAGTTCCCCCCACCAGAGTCATGTAGCAGAGCAGTCATGGGAACTGTGGTTGAATCTTAATTAGAGAGGTTGCAATGTGTCTGTGTGTCAACGGGTTGAACGGGATTAATGATACTTGTGGTTTGGTATGTTTTAAATATAATAATTGCAACCTAGTACCTGTTGGCTTTAAGAGCTAAAACCAATATTAGAGTTTTGAGGGCAAACTGTGGGATTTCAGATACAAACTAAATACTGGCTTCACTACAGTCTAAGAATAGGCCTAATAAGAATAAATCTAGAATAAATCTCTATCTAAACACCGTGGCACTATCTGCATGTAAACATCCACTCTGTCATGAATTTAGCAAAGCAGAAAATATAGCAAAAAGTTTGGGTTTTTTTTGTTTGTTTTTTTTAGCAGTGTCTGTTCGCAAAAACCACTTTGGTCCTAATCCAGAAAGAAGAGTCAGACTGTAAAACTAAGAAAAGTGTCCCACAAAGCCTCAACTGAGCCAGCAAACTTTATAAAATAGCAGGCCCATCTCATGTGGTGTCTTTTAAAGACTCACTCGCTGAGGTTAGCTAAACACAGCTGTGGCGTTTCAGGACAAGCAAATGTGTACTTGTCTCAACAATAAGCACTTTGGTTCTTGAATTACAAACTTTTTTTCGTGCTTTTTGGTTCAACTGGAACATGGGAAACAGATCCTTATTGAAATGATAGATGTGAGTACACAGACGAAATGCAGTTGCCTAATCCCATTCTTCCTAAATAATCCTCAGTGTTGTTATACAGGCATCAGAGTGGATTGACAGTAACACAGACTCATGTAAACACTGACTCCTTTAGCTGAAACAGGCAAATATTAGATTCTGTCACTATGTTTCTATATAAACTTCATTTATACAGATGAATTTGAAGCATGTTTCATGAAAATATACAGTGTCTCATTGTGAACAGCTGGTCACTCCTGCTGCTCCTGCTTTTAAAGTTGCACTAATCAATATTTTTATATTAACAACAAATCACATGACTGGGTGTAATGTGAAAGGGATCGCCCATAGTGAAGCGCCGACAAAGACTTATCAACCAACTTTAGTTCCCCTGAGCTCTACGGTCCATTTAAACGTGTTTCAGCTCGTTGTTTTGGTTTCACTTCCTGTAAATTCACTGTTTTGGTTCACTCTCACTGGTGAAAAAGCTCTGATGAACCACAACAACTAGCTGGTGAACATAGTGGAGCATTTAGCAGCTAAAGAGCCAGATATTTCCCTCAGGAGTTAGTGCAGACCAAAACAGAGCGAAAAGGAGAGTCTGTGTTTTATTTGAGGTCATGATATCCGTAAGAAGATATATTTGTGGTTTTAAAAACCAAAAACCATCTCAATGTAGTTTAAAATCTCCTCTCTCAGGCTTCTCTCTCTCGAGCTCCAGTAACAACAGGTCGGTGAGCCAATCAGAAGAGAGGAAGTGCTAAACCCTCTCTTCTGATTGACTGATTGTTTTCTGAGTGATCCAATAAAAATATAGCAGATTTCAGGTAAACACTCAGAGAAACCAAGTCCTGCAAGGCTAGATGGTGGGTCCAGGTGGGCGGGGCTTGGGGGATGGCTGAGGGTGGTGACCGCTTCGTTGTGACATCACAAGTTACAGAAGTCCTGACGGCTCATTTTAAGTCACAGTTTCTAAATGCAGTCTATGTGTATTTCTCTGTGAACATTGCTCTATGTGTAGTATGGTAACTGTTTGCTAACACATTAGCCATATTTATAATGTCACATGTTTTAATGAAGAATTTTGAAAGGAGGCATTGGTTAATATTAAATATTTGTCCAAAAAATGTTTAATGAATAAACTGCGAGCACTTTTTGCAAAGATTTCATTATCTATTATTCAGAGTATGTAGGAGGAGACACCCTGTCTTTATTGTTTGTGCAGCATTTAATTCTGTATTTCTTAACATGTCAGGTCATTGCTTTTGAGCAGGAAGTTACTATCAAATCATGACCAAAATAAGATCACTGGGCCATATGGAATTAGCATCATTCATTTAAAGATAGGTCTGAGGTCTGATTTGAAATCCTGATACTGCTTTTTTATTACTTTTTTATCTAAATCATATGAGTTTTTTGGACTTGAGAGGGAAAATAAGTGTCGTAAATCGTAGTTCCTGGATTTAAAAAATACATAGGGACAGTTTTTGGGGGTAGAAATACCCACAGGTGCAGTATATTTCAGGTTAAGACAATATGTTTGCAAGAGGACAAAATCTCATGAATGTGGCTGGCTGTGCATAAAAGAAAACATCTGAATTACGTAACTCGTTTCACAACTGTCGCTTGTGTTTTTATAAAAGACATGAGAGACTGGTATCCCAGTAACACAGAAAGTTGGCAGGAGGGTCAGAGTTTACACTTCTCTTAATAATGTGTGCCTCAGGGCCTCCGTTTTCAAAATAGGTTAATCCTGTGAAACCAATTTTGTGGGCTTGGGGTGTGATAATAAATCATAATTTACTCTACTTTCAGGTCATTAACCTTTATTTATCCAGAGGAAATTGAAGGAGCATACTTGTGCTTTTCTTACAGCCGCCTGCTTTAAATTGTTAAAGTTACACACATTTCACACCTGGGAAATTTATAGAATGACCACTGGCAAACGCTGCGCATTTGAATGTCAGAACCGAAGAGAAAGGAAGAGAGAGGGAGAGAAGAGTGGTACTTATTTAATTTTCCCAGGCATGATTTTTCAAACAAACCAGTAATCTTGCAGATAAATGACCGCTTCTCTAAAGTTTTAGGCAACTGCTGTCCAGTCCGGTTCGAAGTCTCCAAACTCTTTACAAAGTCTTTTAATTGCCAACATCAATATGTAGATACTACTTTCCAGAGAATGTAGAATTTGCTTTTTTGATTTTCTGGATTAAGAAGCCAACCATTAACTGCAATATCCCTGATTTGAGATATCTGTTGTCTCTCTCGCTCTCTCTCTCCCTCATTTCGTGTTATCTCTCTCTACTGTGTCTGCATTCAAAGCTTAAAAGGCCCTAAAAATACTTTTCTTACTACTGTGCCTAAGGACATTCTAT